AAAAAAAAAAAAATCAAAGCAAACAAACCAGAAACAGTTGCCCCAGTTACAGTACAAGATAAATTTATTGTAAATCAAGAACCACAACTTTTTAAATGAAATTTGAAATTATTTTGACTTAATTGCTAACAATGAAAAAAAAGCATAATTTCAGAAATAGCTGAGAATAGTTACACATAGAGACTTGAACCTAGTTTGGATAATTTGGAACTTAATCCCATAATTATGATTCACTGAAATAGTTTTGGAAAAATTGTTTAGAAGGTAGACATATATACTGATTCTTGTTTTTTTCATGTTAGAGCATTTACTACATCAATTTAGCATAATTCCTTTTAATTTAAAAAAGACCTTTCATGATATTGTAGGATTCTCTTAACGTGTGTAGTAAAGTTGTTTTCAAATAGTGTATTTGTAGATGTCATATTCAGAACAAGTACATTAAAATTATCAATATTAGGTACTAGTAGAATAAAATGAAGCAAACGTGAACTTTGTTTTTTATTGCTTTTGGTTTTTGTGGAATTGAGAAAAATGTAAAGTGGTTATTCTAACAAGGAATATTACAATGGGAAAAAAATTTAGTTTCATTTTACTGGTATATCCCTTGAGCAAATGCTTCAGAATTTTTGCCAAGCTGCCTACCATATTGACACTTCTAAGTAACGTTTTCCAGTCTGAGTAATCCGAGAATTCACTTTTCAACAAATTCAAAATCCACTTTACTTGCCTTCTTTTTCCTCTTGAATATTCTGCCCACCACTCTGTGCTGTCCAAGGGTTGGCAGGTGTCCTGTAGGAATCCTTCAAGCCCAGCTCATCCCAGCACTGACTTTTGACAGTCAATATCACACCAGCCCTATCCACCAACACTGTGGCTCCATTACAGCTAGTGTCTCAGAAAGGAGCTGGCTCCAAATCTGGGTTGGCCAATTGATCCAGGAGACAGATGAGAGTCTTCCTTGGAACCCCCAAATGCAACAGTAGGGTATGATTAACCAATTATAGTTGTTTTTTCTTTTCTTTTTTTTTTTTTAATAATGGAATGATTTACCGTGAAGTAACATCTGTTGCCAGTCTTCCTCTTTTTTTTTTCCCCTCCCCAAAGCCCCAGTGTGTGGTTGTATATGCTAATTGTACATCAGTCTAGTCCTTCTATGTGAGCCATCACCATGGCATGGCAACTGACAGACAGGTGGTGTGGTTCCGCAACTGGTGAGTGAAGCTGGGCCACGGAAG